AAAACGGCCTTATAAAAACATTTGTCCTAGGGGATGTTTGGCGATGCAGTGCGCTTGCAAATTGTTTGGTGTCTAAATACATCAGCAACCCATCTCTGCAAGTCATCACTGCAACCAACCATGGCTCCTTTCCCTCTTGACTATACATGGTCTTTGCTGAAGATGGGGTGGAGGACAGGTCCGCGCAGCGAGGAAGCACTCCCTCGAGCCGATGCACTGCCCTGAGGAGAGTCCAGATGAACAGGACCATTTCTAGAGCACGGATCCCCAAGGAGGACAGAGGATTGGGTTTGATCCTTACCTCTGCCCATGGTTTTTGCTCCAGCTGTTGGGCCTTGACCCAGTAAAGTGTTTCAGCCCTTGAACTCTGGCACGTGCACAGTCCCACTGACCTCTGAGACTTCAGCTCGGTGCTGAACTCAAACACAAGGTCCAGAATTGGGGCAGGTCCCCAGCCCTCCCCAGGCAGTCTTTTTGGGAATTCACAGCCCCTTTCTTCAATGGACCCTCTCCTTTTTCCACAGTGGTTGCTCTCTCGGGGTGGGGGGGTGAGGGACACACCACCTCTGATATTTCTGAAGCATTAGAAAACCCCCACTCTTCTAGAAACCCTCTAAAATACAGCAGTTACCAAGTCAATCAAGAGTTGGAGCGATAACGACCTTCTCCACAGTGGAGCAGAGGGGTTAAATTTATGAGCAAGCCTTTGATGTCTAAAAGCTTCATGTGGTACAAAACCTTCTGCTTTGATGTTACTCCTAGAAGAAAGGAAGCTCAGGTGTGCGATGCACGAGGCCCAGGGATCACTCGGATCTGGCCACCCGCAACTGCCAGCACTGGGACTGAGCTCTAACGCGGCTGCTTTTGCTCAGGCCTCTGCTGCAGCAGAGAGAAAACATGACCAAACGCCTCTCACCCTCACCAGCTTGGCCCAGACTAAACCCACCTTTGCTCGGCCTGGGGAGAACCAGGCGCTCACAGCCCTCAGTACCCCATGGGAGCCCCAGCCCTGACCTCAAAGGCCCCCCAGACCCAGGCAGTGCCAGTCCCTCTCCAGCCATGGCTGGGAAATTCCCACCATTCACAGGGCCACGGGAAGGGTAAGGAAGCCAGTCTCTGCCCCACGGCGCGAGCTCTACATCGTGTGCCACACCAGCACCTCGCACAGCAGCAGCAGGAAGGTCCAAGAGGCACGGAGGGACCCTGGTACGCTCTCCTACCTTACGCAGCGCCTGGGCCATGGCTTCTCCTATCCATCCCAGCATCCCCACGGCTTTGCCAACAGGCTGAGCCCTTCTCCCAGGACCTGACAGAGCTGCCAGCAGGGACAGGCTCCTCTCCATCCCCGAGCTCAGTTCGCCTCCCTGCACTTTTCCCTGCCTCCCCTCCCACCTCCTCCCATGGGGAGTTTCCCAGCAGCTCAGTAATTAGCATCATCATCACCAATGCTAATAACACCACCACAGCTCCTGCCATCCAAAGCTCAAACAACTTTACAGCCATCATCACGCCTCTGTAACCTCCCCAGGGTAGGCAGGGAAGCAGCATTATCCCATCACACAGATAGGGAAGAGGGAGGTAAACAAGAGGCAGAGATGGGCAGCCGACTCGGAGCTCTGACTCAGGCACCGTACCCATGGGACCTCCCCGTCCAGGGGAGCTGCTCGCTACAGTGAGGTCCCTTTGGAAGGACAGTGGCTGTGTTGACAGCAGGGCTTATCCAGAGGTTACCGCACTCGGCTTGGGGCCTGGGAGTCCTGGGATGAGTTTTTTTCCTGGGCATCCTTGCACACAGCCTCAGTTCCCCTCTGCAACGCGTGCACAGTCCAAGTTTGTGCCTTCTGATGGGACGGGGTAAGGTGGCATCCCACAAAAGCACCCCAGATCAACCATCAGAGCTCAGCTCTAACTGAGGACTCGCTGTTTACTGATGGACTGAAGAGGGTTTTTTTGCTTTGAGCATTCACAAAATGAGGAATCTGGGGGATTCCTGGCTGAACAGACAGACCAAGGAAAGCTGCTCTCCCATCTTGGGTGGGGTTTGCTACATTTGATCAAAAAGGCTCCCACGGAGAGGAATTACAGCTCTTCAAAAAAGCCCACCCACACTCCCCTACAAGAGACTGATGCATCCCTGGTAGCCCTCTGACAGACGCAAAAGCAGAATGCAAAGCTTTGGGCAAGTACCTGCAAGACAACGTTGACGTTAAATGCCTTGAGGTCTGGCCGATGCTCCGGAGCCAGGCTGGCGTAACTGCCAGCTGGGAGCACCGACACCAGCCAAAATTCACCTCAAGTGACCCAGCCTTGCCCACCAGAACATGCTGCAGGGACGTTCTCCTGGCGAGGAAGCCCTTTCAGGAGGGCACCTCATGTGTGGCGGAGCATGGACTGAACCAGCTGGTGTAAGCCCTGCGCCAGCACCTCACGGAGCATGGATTCCTACGCCCGGACAAACGGCATGCACGCAGCACTGCGGGGAGCAGGGCAGAATTTCTAATGCCTCCTGAGCCTCTCCAGCTCTGGATTCTGCAGAGCTCCTGGATTTCTGAGGGTATTTCAGCAAACTTGAGGAAAGAGGATATAAATACACCTGCCTTGACTTTGTGGGTGCACAGGCAGCAGCAAAACCTAGGTGGGGGCTCTGGCCTTCTTGGCAAGGAAGGAGAGCAAGATGCCCAGCTGAGAGGAATGCTGGGGGGCTTCGGTGTCCCACCTGCATTTTGCCAAGCAAACTCCCCTCTGCCACTCAGAGCATCTGCCTACAAAGACCGCAAGCCCGATCATACTATGTAACTGTATAGCTACTGGCCTGAGGAAAAACCCAGTAAAACACTTGTCACTGTCATTTTTATGGGATATGGACTATGGCCTATTAGATACCAAATAAGGGGCATTCTTTAAAACCTAAGCAGTCGCCCTCCTCCTCCAGCGTGCATCGATCTCTTCTCTCTTGGGATAAAACAGGACATTTAGTGTCTGCAAGGAGGAAGATGTCTTTTTTTTTTTCCACACACT